CCCCCCCCCAAACTGCTCTGATTCCTTTGCCTCCATCTCAGTGAATGGCACCACCATTCAGGTGTGCTTTCCAGACACATGCATGATTTTTCTCTCCCTCACTCATACTGCCATTGTTCTAGATCCACTCTATTACCAAGTCCTACCTGTCTAACGCTCAAAGCTCAAATTCGTCATCTTCTTTCTACATCTACCCAAACTATCACTCTGTCTCTTCTGGGCTACTGGTCTCCTAACTTGTCTCCACCTTCTCCTTCTCATGCCCCTTCACTTCATTCTCATACTGAAGCCAGCACCAGCTTTTTATAACACAAATTCAATCAGGCTATAAATGTCATGCCATCCTTTGGTTGAAAATACTTTGATGTCTTCCCAAGGCACTTAGATAAAAATCCAAACCTCAAACATGGCTGACAAAGTTCAGCATGATCTGGTCCTTACCGTATCTCCCACCTCATCCCTTAATTCTGTACCGAAGTCCCACTGGCATCTTCCTATGTCCTCAAACACTACACAGCCCTTCATATCAGCTGTTCCTTGTCTCTGGATCACTCACGAACCTTCCACCTCCCAAATGGTGTTAATATCTACTAATCTTCAGACCTCAGCTCAGGTGTTGCTTTCTCAGAGTCAGTTTTCCTGACTTCTATTATATTCTCACAAAACCGCTGTAGTCTTTACCACTTATCACTGGTGCAATTTTACATGTATTCTGGCACATGGCTGGCTCAGAACACATACTTGTTGAACAAATGAGAGGTGAATGAATGCATGTGCTTCCTTCCCCCTCCCAGACATGCTTACCATTTGTCTGAATCTGTAGGTTGTGGATTTTCGTCTGAATGCCCTCTGGGTACAGAGTGAAACTACACTCACACTTCCCAGTGAGCAAGGAGGACATGTTCCTTAAGTGCAGAGCCCACTTTGACACATTCCTGGGAGCTTCTCTGAAAGCCACCAGCGACTCACAGGGGCTCCCACTGGCACAGTAAAAGCCATGTTGGGGATGATAAAGGGCAATCAGGTCCAACTTATCAGTGACCTTGGACCACTGCATCTGCACCAAGAAGCCTTTCTTCTGTGTTTGGCAGGTCAGGTTGACATCAGAACTAGGTAATGCATAAATGTCTTCTTCTGCATTGAACGTTTCTTCCAATACTCCTGAAAAGAAAGGACGTGAGCCATCAGTTTGCATGATTTACACAGAGTGACTCAATGAGAAACCTTGGTTACTTTGGTGAAGTGAGGGAGCAGCTGGAACTTTCCTCCCTGGCTGACTTAGGGGTTAGAGAGAGCTTGTTCCTGATCTAGACAGAGAAGCATAAGACTCAACACAAATGAGGAGGCATTTGCTTAAAGACACTAGAGGAAATTATTGACTTTTGAATGTCTATCACTTTGTCTATTGGTCTGTCCAAAAAATAATGTAAGTTCTCTGACTACCTGTGAAAAAAATTAAGCCTATTTAAAGATTGGAGCCCACTAGCAAGTTTATTATGACAACTACTCTTACAATGAATATAATTGGCTTTTTTTGTTTATGAATCAAAAGCACATAACATATAATAACACACAAATATTATTTTCTGAAACTGAAAAATAACTAATATGCATATGTTTTTAAAAATATATGTTTACAAGAGGATTTTACATAGGTTATTTTGTTTAATCCTCTGCACACACCAAAGGGTGATTTTTCTGTTTGTTTTTAAAATTTATTTATTTTTGGCTGTGTTGGGTCTTTGTTGCTGCGTGCGGGCTTTCTCTAGTTGCAGTGAGCATGGGCTACTCTTCGATGAGGTGCGCGGCTTCTCATTGTGGTGGCTTCTCTTGTTGTGGAGTATGGGCTCTATAGGCGCATGGGCTTCAGTAGTTGTGGCACACGGGCTCAGTAGTTGTGGCACACGGGCTCAGTAGTTGTGGCTCACGGGCTCTAGAGTGCAGGTTCAGTAGTTGTGACGCATGGCTTAGCTGCTCTGCAATATGTGGGATCTTCCCAGAAAAGTGATCGAACCCGTGTCCCCTGCATTGGCAGGCGGATTCTTAACCACTGTGCCACCAGGGAAGTCCAAAGGGTGATGTTTGTTAACAGTTTATCAAAGAGGAAACTGAGGCACAGAGAGATTAAGTGATTTGCTTAAAGTCACACCTCAGTAAAAGAACACTAATTTGGTTGTCTAGAGTCTGTGCTCCTTCTATAACCTTCATGACCTCCAAACTGCCTTCCAAATTGGTTGAGAAGAGTAAGAAATTTGACATTCACTATCAGAGGATCAAAAGGGCCATCATTTCCATGTAGTTAGGGTGCCTGAGGAAAGGATGGGGAAAAAACAGCGGTAGAGGTTTCCACTAAAGATAACCCACTGGTCAGCATCATCTATAATCAACACTGAAACACTAGACATGAAAGAAGATTCCCTCCCATCAGCTCTCTGACCAAATGGTACAGGACACTTACAATATGTTAAGCACTGAGCCTTTGACATGCCTTCAATAGTGTAGGTCTCAGTTTTAGAATTAACATGGAATACTGTTACAGGAATGATATATTATTGTGACAAGTACCACTGAAGCTCACAAAGGAAAAAGATGACAAGCAACTGAGAAAAAAACAGGCTCCAAAGGTACTGGACAAATGGGAGTTACTACACTTTTATGAATGCAAAAGTTTGGGTAGGCAGAGGTTAGTGCAGCTTAATGTAGCTCCCTGTGAGCTCACCTTTGCCTGGTAATACATCTCGGATCCTATCCACAGCATTATATTCCAAAGTCTCCTTTGATTTAGAAATTCTCCTTTAAAATCTTCATAACTATATCTGAAAAGCAGAGCTAATTCTTAAGACACTCGGGCTCACTCTAATACCCTCGTGCTACGGAATGCAGAACAAATCTCTCCTCCTGCTGTTTTTAAATAGGCCCTTTAGGCACTGGTCCCCGCTGTCATAAGGACCCTACTTTGTCTCCCAGGTCCATACCTACACATGCCTCATTAAAATTCAACGTATGTTCAGCTCCCAAAGATCTTAGTATTTGGAGGAGAAATTCTTGCTATATCCAAAAGAGAAAGTATTTGAGAAAGAGAAAAGGTTGAGCCAGGAGCTCTGAGTCTCGATGGCTTGTGATTTTTCTAGTATTCCGGAGTTATTCTGATTATCACTTGGACAGCATTTCATTTGCAAGAAGCACAATTTCCCAGTTACTCCAAGAGACCCTCCTAGAAAGAAAATGGGTGAAAATGTCTCAGAGCAGTGGCACAAACCACCCATTCCCTTCTTGTTTTTAGCGCTCATTTGTAATCCTTTCTAGACTCTTAACATCTCTCTGAGAGCTGCCACTTAAATACATAACTGAAAACCTTAATAACAGTCTGCCTTTGGTGATCAATTTCGGCAGTAGCCACAAGGCATTTAAAATAAACAGAGGCCCCATTCCCCTCAAAGCAGCCGATCTGACAAGAAAGGACAACCAGAAGCCTTACCCCTGACAAAATGTATCTGGATGATGGAATAGACAGCGCAGTATGTCCATTTCCCCCCCATAGTCTCCTGAAGGCCTCACACCAGCATTTCCATAATGATCACAGAAGTCAATAGACGCCTTTAACTAAGCAAACTCCAGCCACCCTGTTCGTGCTGAAAAAACGCCACATCTACCAAACGCCTGTGTCTGTTTATCACTTGGCAAGACCCCAGGAAATGAAACGTAGACAGGAAAGTAATGTGGTTCAGAGCTAAGTATAACCTTCAACAGAACAATGTTGAAACTGTTCTCCGAAATCTTGTGTATCACCTTCGTTAAAAGCATTTTTAGTATCCAAAGATTCTCTCCTTCAGGATCTCTGTGTCAGTCAAGCTGCTTCTGAAATCCACACAAAGGAGATCATGCAGAGCAGTTCATAATCTGCTTTTTATACATTTCTTTTCAAGAGCACAAAGTCACTTAACAAATGTGAGCTCAGTGTCTTTCATAATAGTTTTTCTGTTCAATTTTAAAATATGTTTTCTTTCCAGAATTGCTTCAGGGTGAAAGAAGAATTAACAGGTTTAATTTTAATAAAATCTGAGAAGTAACAGAGGGTAGCTCCAGCTAAGAAATGGAATTTTAACGTCTCCCTTCTTTCAGGGAAACCCACATTCCCTGGAGGTGAGGAGATGAGGGCTCCTTTTCCACCCTGTGTCTGGGATAGGCTGGTGGTCAAGTAGGGAATTCTCCCACCCTGCTGGCGGGAGGTCTGTTCTGATGATGACAGAAAAGCGTGTCTTTGCCTCAGCAAAGATCATGTAGAGTAAGACAGAAACAATCAGAATCCAAAGGCAGAGAGAATCTCCTACCTCAGCTGGTTACCAGGCCCTGTTACATCCACCCACTTACTTCCATTTACCGAGGACCGGATTTCAGGGAAGCGACTCCTTGGTAAAAATCCCTGGTTATTCGCAGAAGGACATGATGACTGTTCCCTGTCAGATACAGCTGTATTGGTTTTCTACCTTGGGGTAAAATAGGCCGTCTTTACCTGCCAACATTAAGAGAAGAAACATTAGGCTGGAACTACAGCATAAGTTTAATGAACAAAGAATAAAAATGAATTAATATGTACCATCTTATGAACAATTGGTGAAATATTCTGTGACCCTAATCTCATTACTATCAGCAAGGCTAAAGACAAATGAGAAGACTGAGTTGTATTCCTGAGATGGTTACTCTTTTGAGGTCAGGGAGAGATAATTCTGACCAGGTCATCATCATGTATCATGTCATAATGTATCATGTCATCATGTATCATGACATCATGGGTGTACTGATCTGTCCAATGCAAGGACTTGGTAGGGGGGGATACGGATGATGCTAAGATATAAAGCATCACTCTTGCCATTCAGGAGATTAGAATTACCTGGGAGAAGACATTTGCATATGGTGAAATAGGGCTACTGTCTTCCTGGACGTCCAGGCTACCCTCTACACCACCCCTACAAATATTTGCCGTGACAATTGTCATACTCATTACTACTCAGCTAATGATGTTTCCTGCAGAGGCCAGAAAATGGAGTTACTGATTTCCTACTCCAGGGTTCCCAAACTTTTATTCCTATCCCCCACTACCACCTCCCCAGTAGGTCTCAGGTCCCTGGAGGTGTTGGGTCAGTTGGGGCTGACAGGGATATTTTCAGGGAGGGCTGGGGAGTTCAAAATCTTTGAAAGGCAGGAAGAAACATCACTGCTCCTGATGCCTTCATATCTACCCCTTTTCTCCTAGAAATTCTAGTAAATCACGGTGATGGAGTATAGAGGCAAAAACAGGCCAGAAGATATAGTAAGAAGACCCTGATCTATAGGCTGGTGTCCCTATTCAACTGGGAGACATTACAAGCCTGGGGAGGGATTTCAGTTACTTTACTCCACTTGTCATATTAAGAGGAATCTACCTAAGTAGAAACCAATAAGAATCTAAATTTATTGAATTCTCTAAGAGAAGATCCTCCCCCTTGAATCATCTAGAGGTCTCTTATCTCTTATTGCCTGAAGGTGAAGCAACTCTTCAAATAAATCCCTCAGATTCAGAAAAAGGGAAATCCTCACTTGTTTTCCAGAGCTACAGAGTAACTTTTAGTGGAATCCATGCCTGGGGTTGGGATGCCCAGGGCCCCATTTAGTGGCTACTGGGCAAATCTGCCCATCCTGGGTGTGGTTTTTATACTTCCGTGGCCTAGAGTCATCAGATTGGACTGATTTTCCTTTGAGATTCACCCAGGCTCTAATAGAAGAAAAATTTCACATGCCCACGGAATATTAATTGTGCTCACCTGGCGTCCTGCAGCTAAGAGCCCGGCGCCAGCCCCTCCATGGCTGTTTGCGTGCAGCAGGTGGCAGCAACACCCCACAGACCAGCACTGCTAGTACAGTGATGGGAATTGCCCTCACTGCTTTTCAATCCTGGGAATATTTTCTAAAGGCCCTTTCAGCATGAGGGTAGGCATTCTCTATACTTAAAAATAACTCTTCTATGGAAGACATGTCAATCTCTTCTATTATCCTCCCTGCTCACTAAATCCCAACTGCATGGTGTTTCTTCTGCCTTAGATTAGAGTCTACTGCATATAAAGAGAAAACAGAAGCAGTCAGTTTCACACACAAAAAGAAATCTTGAACTTCAGAAGCAAATTCAATTATTGACAAAGTGAAGCAGGGGCACACATTATTTCTGCTACAGGCAAGACACAATTGTGTGTTTTGGACAAACTTTTTAAATGCTCCATCTAAACACTTACCCTCAATGAGATTAAGGACATTTTCAGAAATAGGAAGTTGAGCAAAAGGTAATCTTATTTTTTGTGGTTTTCAGAGAGGTTAACTCAAATATTATTGATTTGTCTTGGATTTTATTCTTTTTTTTTTTAACATCTTTATTGGGGTATAATTGCTTTACAATGGTCTGTTAGTTTCTGCTTTATAACAAAGGGAATCAGTTATACATATACATATGTTCCCATATCTCTTCCCTCTTGCGTCTCCCTCCCCCCCACCCTCCCTATCCCACCCCTCCAGGCGGTCACAAAGCACCGAGCTGATCTCCCTGTGCTATGCGGCTGCTTCCCACTAGCTATCTACCCTATGTTTGGTAGTGTATATATGTCCATGCCTCTCTCTCGCCCTGTCACAGCTCACCCTTCCCCCTCCCCATATCCTCAAGTCCGTTCTCCAGTAGGTCTGTGTTTTTATTCCTGTCTTACCTGGATTTTATTCTTTAACCACTTATATAAAAAAATAAGAACGTGGAGTGTTATACTGTTGTACATATTTCTTTCCCAAAATGTTTAGGAAGCATGCTGCTTGATGTTTCAGTTAATCAAAAAATATGTATTTAGTGCCAACTCTTAAGGGATTACTGAAGAGGCATAGTTCTAGGTGATTTTAAATACAAATGAGGAAATAAGCCCTTAAGGCACTTATCATTTTGCTGGGGGAAAAATCTCCATGTGCACCAGAGAGTCAGGTAACATAAAGCACAGAATTAAATGAGTAGGTAGCACAGGTCTTTAGAAAAGGGGATGATCTCCTAGGGATCAGGTGGGCTAGGAACATCTCAAGCGTGGAATCTTAACTTGGCTTTATATTGTAGAAGTGAGTCTGGTGGAAACCATGAGGTAAGTCATTCCAGGCAGAGCCAACCCTTGGGAGTACTGAAGTTCAAGGCCAATTCAGTGAGTCAGCTGTTATCATGAAGCAGAGGCTTTATTGGGGGGCTTGGGGCAAAGTCATGCTAGGGATGAGCTTAGATTCTGGAGGGCTTCGAATTCTAGGCTATAGATTTTTTTCTTCATGTCAGAGAGAGTTATAGGATTTTCAGCAAAAGAGTAACATATTTAAAAGTAACATTTCAGTAGGATGAATTAGGTGAATTAGTAGGTGGACATGTGAAGACTGAATAAAAGAAGGGAGAAAAAAAAGAGGCAGGAGACTTGTTAGGAATTCTGTATTTCTTTAGGCACCTGAGGATGAGAGCTTTCCTATTGGCAATTGTCAAGTATGATAGGGGCATGGACATTGCAAAGAACGGAGGTAAGGCTTGGTGTCCAGTTGGACATGGAGTCAAAACTTCCTTTGAATTTTCATACATCAGAATTAGGAGGAAAGAAAAACCATCATAGAGCTGGATTCCTGATGGAAGAATGGACTCCTGCTCCCTTCCCTACCCCAGGAGCAATCGTCAGGGATCACTGGACTTTGAACTAGAAGTGAGGGATGACCTATTAGGTACAGGTAGAGGCCCTGCCTCCATGAGAATGAAGGTCCTCCTTTTGGCTTTCACTCAAATTTTATGAATTTTAAGAATTATCATCTAATGGAAGAGAGAGAACTTCATGAGACTTTCCACACAGCAATTTGCTTTATCACCATCATTTCCACCATGCTCAATCCATCCAGTAAAGACTGATTTTAATGTAATACATTTTTGTAATGACAGCATCAATATCTGCTCATTACAAGAAAACACTTTAAAAGGATAACAAAGAAAATAAAAATCAGTTGGAATCCTAACCACCCAAAGACAACCAAAGTACTTATATTTTGTCTTATATCTTTCTAGACATTTACATAAATATGTTACATGAAGAAACTGGATTTTTACTATTTTTACTGCATATACTCTAATCTGTGCTTTTTTTCACTTCATAATATATTGTAGACATATATACATGTTATAAAACAAAGATAAACTTCTTCCTTTAAAATAGTTGCATAATATATTATTCTACAGATGTCCAGAAAAGTATTTTTTAAGTAAGAGAAATTTTAGAATATTTTTTACTTTGAGAAATAGAATTACAAAATACAATTGAATAATTATAGTAAGTAATCTTTGAATTTTTCTTTTCAGGGGCAAGTTGAAATAAGGAGAGGGAGAGAGAGAGAGAGAAAGAGAAAGAGAGAAAGAGAGATCAATCCTGATTTTGCCAAAGCTCTGGGAAGCTAATGACTCAATAATAACTCAATAATGGTGACTTTTGCAGAAAAACACTTGAAAAACCATTAACATCTC